CAAGTGGCTTTGTCCATGAGCCACGGTGGTCCTAGTACATCACTTTTGTCTTCTGGGAAGTCTGAACTCCAAGTTCTATCCAACTGCCTCTGACATTCGATTCCAGGCTAAGCACAAGGAGCGCATGAATGACAGCAATGCTGAAATGAGCGGTCAGCTCTGACTCCTCCACCTAGCTCACCCCTCGTGGCCAATCAGCCTCAATGTCCTGCTGACATTAATCCCTAACAATTCTGGGAACCTGTGTCCTCTCCATCCCACAATGCCTAATTGAGGTCTCATCACTTCTCACCTGCAGAACTGTAAGAGCTCCTTATTGTCCCACTCAAGTCATTCAAAAAATATTTACTGAGTGCCCATTATGTGCCAGGCATTTGATTAAGGATAGGAACACAGCAAGGAACAAAATGAACATCACCTCCATCTTCCTGTGCATTACAATGGTTGGAGGGGGTGAGCTTTATACAAATCATTATAGAAATGGACATGTCATTACAATTTATGAAAGAGATAATGAAATAAAATTAAGAGTAAAATGACAGGGCTTCCCTGGTGGTCCAGTGGTTAAGAATCAGCCTGCCAATGCAGGAGACATGGGTTTGAACCTCAGTCTGGGAAGATCCCACATGCCTCAAGGCAGCTAAGCCCATGCACCACAGCTACTGAAGCCCATGTGCTATAAAGCCCATGCTCGACAACAATACAAGAGGCAATGAGAAACCCGAATATTGCAACTAGAGAAAGCCCGCACGAAGCAACCAAGACCCAGCTCAGCCAAAAATAAATCAATTAATGTTTTTAAAAAGAGTAAAATGACAAAAGACCTCTGAATTACTTGAGGGTCAGAAAAGGCTTCTTTAAATATGTGACAGTAAAACTGAGATTTACATGATGAGTTAGAATCAATGGTGAGTAGAGGGAAGAATATTCAATCAGAAGGCACAGCGTCACTTAAGACCAGGGATCAGCAAACATTTTCTGTAACGATCCAGAGAGTAAACATTTTCAGCTTTGCAGGCAATGCAATCTCCATCTCAAATACTCAGATCTACTACTGAAGTGCAAAAGTACCTCAGACAGTACATAAACAAATAATGTGGCTGACTGCCAGTAAAACTTCACAGCCACCAAAGTCTTAATTTCATCTCATTTTCACCAGTCACAAAACATGACTCTTCTTTAAATTCTTTTTCAACATTTGAAAAGGTAAAAGCCATTCTCAGCTCCCAAGACATCCAAAAGCAAGCAGCAGGCCAGATTTGGCACATGGCCATAGTTGGCCAACCCCTAGTCAAGACTCTGAGATGGCAAAGACCTGCAGTGACTGAGGCATTCAGTGGGTCCCTATGGATGGACCGGAGTGAACAAAGTGAGGGACACAGAGTAAGCAGTGGGGGGAGGTGAAAATGATATCCTACACCATCTTCTGAGCCAGATTACAAATTTTGGAGCTTATCCTAAAAGCAAAGCAAGGCCGACAAAGTGCTATAATCAGAAAAATAAGAAAACTGATTCTTGGGGAATTCCCTGGTGGTCCAGTGGTTAGGACTTGGCACGTTCACTGCTGGGGCCTGGGTTTGATCTCTGTAAAGAACTAAGATCCCACGAGCTATGTGGCATGAGCAACAAATAAATAATTTTAAAAAAAAAAAAGGAAAACTGGTTCTTACTCCCCACAACATACACATTTTCTTACTCCTAATCTAATCTCTTCACCCTGCCCAACATATCTAGGATATTTCCTCCTCTGGCTCACAACCATCCCTAATCTCTCTCACCAAACAGGCCCTTAACAAATCAAGCCCAGGCTACTTACCTGGTCTCATTTTCTATTACTCTCAGGGAAGCACCTCAGGCTCCTGTCCTGGGGCCTATGTACCTTACAATAACAAAAAACGGTCTCTCTAGAATATCCTTCCTTTCTTCTCTACTAGGCAAAACCTCCAGTCATATCTTGAGGCTCATATCAAGTAACTTGTCCAGGAAGCAGATTATTTTCCCCAAAAGCACTTTTTATATTACTTTATCACATTGCTCAGTGCATCTTCTGCTGGCTCTGGGTCCATGTTTCTATCCTCCTTATGCTTCCCCACCACTGTTCCCACTGGACCCTGTGCCCCTCGAGGGTAAGGCTGAGTCCTCCTTGTACCCATGCCCCCAGTGCCTACCATACTGCCAGTTGATGGCAGGACCACAAGTAAGATTTGACAAATTAAGGAATGAATGAAGAGTAAACACCTAGCAACCCTGTGAACTTGGCATAGTCTCATGTTGTGATGTTGAATGTGCTGTTGAACAGCTCGTGAAGCTATGTGTATGCGTGTATGCTAAGTCGCTTCAGTTGTGTACAACTCTTCGCGATCCCATGAACTGTAGTCCACCAGGCTCCTCTGTCCATGGGATTTCTCCAGGAAAGAACAGTGGAGTGGGTTACTATTCCCGCCTCCAGGGGATCTTCCAGTCCCAGGTATCAAACCTGTGATCTCTTACATCTCTCGCATTGGCAGGCGGGTTCTTTACCACTAGCGCCACCTGGGAAGCGCTATGTCCATGTCCCTATGTCTCAGTTCCCCATAAGCCCACTAAAAAGAAGGAACTGCTTCCCACTTCTCCATACATGAATGCTTTTAAGGATATAAGGGTAGAAAAGCCTTTAGAACCGAAAGTGGTTTTGTGAATCTGCAGGCAGCAACATCAGCACCACCTGGGAGCTTGTTAGAAACCCAAATTCTCAGGTCCCATCTCAGGGTTGCTAAGTCAGAATCCACAGTTCAGTAAGATCTCCAGGTGATTCATTTACACATTAAAGTCTGAGAAGCTACAAAGCCATTGGCACGCTTTAAGGAGATGTGAAAACTGATGTTAGAAGTTGTTTTGATTTTGAATTTGCAAACACAGTAAAACCAAAGGAATTCTCAGCAAGGATTCCTGGGTATGCTTACCAAAAAAATAAAAATCAATTTAAAAAACCTGAAACACAGGTTTGAAGCTCAACGTTCAGGTAGTTGAATACACAGTGAGGCATGGTGTAGAGCCATGCTCAGAAAATTCTGAAATGGAATCGACTAAATGAATGGACAGATGGAATGTCAGTCTTAGGTCATAATCACAGTCAGGAAATCTAGATATTAATTATTTTCTGTGGGCTTTATTTAGTTTACTTTGATCTCAAGCACACAGGCAAATATCCAGACAAGCTTATAATTGGATGTATATTAAGATCTCCTGGGGTACAAAGCACTAAGCTGGCTACAAAGCCGGTGCTCAGGAAGGTGCTGATATTGCACCAATGACCACCTGTCCCGTTCTCCTCACCTAATTCAGAATAGCTCTTCTTTACCTATGGCCAAGAAGGGTGACATAGCCAACCCATTTATTCTTTTGCACCATGTTTAGGCTGGCTTAAAGACCACCACCACCCCTGTTACTTGTACTTCCTGGACAGGCAAGCTTTAAAGAGGGTTTCAGCACTGCATGACAAATGGAGTGAGCTGGAATTTAGAGACCAGGAGACACCGGTTTACATTCTGGCTCTATCATCTGTTTGGGAAAGTCATATAACCCTCTCTCTCAGCCTCAGTTTCTCATGCCATCAAGCAGGCAGAGGTTGCTAGAATGAAATCAATTAAAGCCTATCAAACACAGAATAGAGTGTGGGGGCAGTGCAGGGCAGTTCAGCAATCTGATTTGTATTTCAGGATATTTTGGTATCCAGTTTTCAAAGTGACCCAATTCAACTCACTCAGTTTCTAGACAGAAAAAGTGAACCCTGGGATGAGAAATGCTTTGCTCAAAGTTATACAGTGTGATGCTAGTAGAGTCAGAATTAGGATCCTGAAACCCCCAACTCCTAAAACACTGTATTTTCAAACTCCTAGCAAATACAGACATCTTTCTGCAAATTAAAACTTACAAAATAGCTCAATATACTAAACAAGTAACAACCCAAGCCTGCCTTAATTATCAATATCCTTTTTGCTCATCTCTCTCTGTCCCATGGTGGCAATCCAAGGACACCTTGTCAGCACCCTGAAACTCCCCCAACCCCAACCCCACATTTGAATAATTGAAGAACCAGCCCACCAGAGCCAGTAAATGAATCACAGCAGGTCTTACCCTTCAATGAATTGTCTTCTGACCAGACCACCTAGGGGTTTTCAAGTCCTTACAGTTCCCAGAGGACCTGAACTTTCTCATGCATCCATATCTACTAGGAACCATTAAGTTGACATCACCATTCTCCGCACTTCATAAATGATCCTAACATCTGGAAATGGGAACCACCTGCAAGTGCTTTGTTCAGAGATCACCTTATCACACAAGGACATGGAAACTCAAGTTTAGGTGAGATGCGAAAGGCATTCCATAAAATGCCACCAAGGTCAAACATTAATCATTGGGGGCTAGAAGAATGCAGAGAATGTTCCAGTTAGAAGATCAGGACTTGAATCCCAGCTCTGCCACTTTCTAACTGGAATGGTAATTAACCTCTGTGAACTGCAGCAGAGCAGTGGATTTTACAAAAAATCAATTTCAGAGTCAGTTTTAGGTTCAGATTCTGACTCCGTTGCATGCTTCCTGAGTCACTTAGGGTGAGCTGACAAATCTCGATTAGTTTTAGCTTTTACAAAACACATAAAAAAGAAAAAGAAAACTATAGGGGTGCTGCTAAGGTTCTGAGTCGCTTAGGGTGAGCTGATGAATCTCTATTAGCTTTAGTTTTTACAAAACACACACAAAGAAGAAAAAAAAAAACTACTTTATAGGGTTGCTGTTAGGATTCAAAGAGATAATCTCTGTCAAATACTTATCACAGTGCCTTGCATGAGTTAAGCAGAATGACTTAATTGCAACTGAATCAATAAAACGAGATCAACCTTCTTAGAGTTGCTGGAAAAATCCAACATAGCAGACTTGAGCAGGGTGCCTGGTACGGATAGATTCACTGGAAAGAATCCTCTGCTATTATGAGCAATCTCTCCCCAAACTTGTGCACTCACCTCTTTTAGCCACAGAAGCTTCGGGGCCTGCATCTCCACAGACATTACGCCCCCGACGTACTGCAGGACACTGTGCTTGGTCTCGTTGATCCGGTGGACCTGACTGACCGCCCGGTGATCCAGCCACATGATGATGTTTCGATGGGAATCCCCTAGCAAAAACAAGGAAAGGGAGTGTTTATGGATTCCCAAGGGCAGAAATCTTCACAACGGCTTCTATAATTTCACATATCAACTGGGAACACCACCAACAGTGACTGGTACATCCCACCCAAACCTCAGATCTCCCTTCAAGAGATGTACTCTTGAATATAGTTCCATGATTAAATGTCTACAAAAGAACCTAGTCAAGATTCACTGATTAATTATACAGTATTACCATTCATTCTCTCAACTTTTCCCCTCTCCTATCCCTTATATCTAAGAAAAACTTTTCTGGATGTATATTCAAGCAAAGAACAAATGAAATAAGCCTAAACAATACTTTTAAGATATGCCTCCTGGAAATCAGGACATATATTTCAGGTATGATTATCATATACATCTACATAATGGCTATTATCTGCTTATAGTCTCACTGCTTCCAGTCACTTTAATTAAAATTAGTTAATTTAAGTGCTTTTTACTCACTTGGTTGGTTTGTGGAGTATTTTTTTCCATTTGGGGAACCAAGCAGACCTATCATGGAACGCTCTTTCAGTACAGACAGAGATACTGAAAAAGTTGTGGAATTTTTCTCAGCCTAAGTGTTCTCCTCTATAAAACGGGGATAACCAGGCCTAGACAGATTAACTGAGATTTTTCATTCACTGAACAAAAGATAACGTGCGTAAAGATATAGCACATACTTGTCACATAGCAGACCCTCAAGAGGAATGTTTCAGGGGAAGCAGAATTTGAAACCAGCTGGGAAAGGAGCATGGGCAGCGCCCCTCACATCCAACCTCTGACACCTTGTAGCCCAGAGAGGAACTAACTGCTCCTCTGTCCCTCCCCGAGCCTTCGTTAACTCATCCTACAGCGATGGGCAAGTCACTACCCTTTCCATGGTCCTCTGCTTCATCCAACGGCAAAATGCAGAGAACAGCAGTGAATATACCTGGCAGATTATAAAAGGGAAAGAGAAAAAGGACTCCAGCGGAACTGAGCCAGGCACTCCCCACCTTATTTTATTTATTGGCAAAGTAACTGCAGCTATCATATAATTTTGCTAATAACAAATGTTTATAAAGCTCCGTGTGTGTGTGTGTGTGTGTGTGTGTGTGTGTGTGTGTGTGTTGGCAGCCCTGTGCTAAACATTTCATACACATCATCTCATTTAATCCTAAAGCAACTCTGAGATCTAGGTCATTTTCAATGACAAACTGCCTGCAGGCTTCAAGACCTGCCTGCTCTCTCATAGCTGGAAAAAGCACAAAAGTGTTTTGAAAGAAGATCTGTGCAGAGAATGGATAAATAAATTAGTAAAACAAGTTTAAACTTGAGCTACGCCAGTTGGGGTATTTTTAAACACAATATATATGGTTTGTTGCTGTGGGTATACACACATGTGATAAAGGCACAGAAGAAAAGTGTTTGTGAACACCAACTACAGCAGAACCATCACCTGCTGGACAGACGAGAGGAGGAGGGCATGGACTAAAGTGGTTTTTTTCTTAAAAAAAAAAAAGAAAAAAAGAATTGTGGCAAATATGATAAAACTTCATCTGTTTATCCTCATACATACATAGGAGGCTATTATCTTATTTTCCTTACTCGTCCGTATATTTGAAATAGAATTTTTAAAACGTGACCAAAAAGTCAACCTGAGAAAGGATCTAAATTAGGTCATCTTTGAAATAAGTCAAGACCTCAGGCACTGATTTGCCTGACCAGAGAGATTTCAGGTCGCAAAAAACTCCTCAAACAACATTAACACATTGAAAATAAAAGAAAGTACATGGAACCTTCCATAAGCACATCTAAGATTTTGTATAAAGGGCTGAGTGGATTCACTATATAACAAAACCACTTACAGCTCTGGTTCTCAACCCTAGTTGCACATTAGAATCTCCTGGGATAGCTTTAAAAAATATTGATGTCCAGGTCCTATTCAAGAACCATCACAGAATCAGAATGTGGGTATATGAACACATTTCATGCATACACACACACACACACACACACACACACGTGTGGGTGCTGGAAAGGATGGTATCAGTATTCCATCTTCAATACTATACAGAATGTATTTGCAACTGCATCCACCTGTTGCTAAACTATTAACTATAAAGACAAACTGATCAGCTACTACTGCTCTACATGAAGAGGCTCTCAGAATGACATAATGAAGACTGTGAAGAATCAATTACTTTATTCTATTTATTATGATTATTAATTAATAATGTTCATTATAGACGACAACATGGAAGTTCATCTTTCCAGTGCTTGTAGAAAAACACAAACAAATGACTCCACTGAAAGTTCACTTCATCTTTCAGTAACCATTTTCTACATGCCAGACACAGTGCTGGGTGCTGAGATACCAAGAAGAATGTGCCATAGACCTGGCTCATATGGAGCAGGTGGGTAAGTGGACAAAACAGTCTGTATGTAGTGATGACTGCCAGGACAGAAGACCTGGACATGGTACACACAAGAGGAGGGGGAGAGAGAAGGCCCCAGTTAGCGAAACCTGAGGCTGCACAGGGAGCTTCCGATAGGCAGGAAAGCTTTTGGTTAATTCTGAAAATGTCTGGTCATTGGGCAGGCAGGTGAAGAAAGAGTGAGGGAAGAGGGGTCACACAACAGAGACAACATGTGAGCACAGACCCAAGACGGCATCATATTTAATACAATTGGAAACAATCTAATAGAGAAGAATTAGGGTTACAGAGTAAGTTTACCCTTGGGCAGATTATTCATCCCTGTACTCATTCAATTAGTACCGCGAATGTCTCACAGGAGGTGTTCGAGGGATACCTGAAGGAAATGACTAGATCAGAAAACCATCTAAACATTAGGTTTCTGTTGCAGAGTAGCCTAGGTAGTAACTTCCTCCCTGACCCTAAACTACCACCCTCCATTCCTCTCCCTCCCAGGCTCCTGTGGCTGGAACGCTTCACCCAGAGTTACGACCGAGCCAGGTGGGTGGCAGAGGTAGGAAGCACAGAGCAAGGGCCTCATGGGCCAACCCAGAGCTGCTCTGACCCTCCAAGGAAGAGAAACCAAACAGTGAGGTGGTTTTAACACACAGGGCAATGTCCTTAAACTACTGTACTTAGTTTTCCTGGGAATTTCCCTCTTTTTTTGGTTACCATCTAAAGACGGTACATTTTGCCAGCCTTGTGGGTTTGGTTTTAATGTCTGTGTGTGCTCAGTCATGTCCAACTCTTGGTGGCCCCAAGGACTGTAGCTCGCCAGGCTCCTCTGTCCATGGAATTTTCCAGGCAAGAATACTGGATTGGGTCGCCATTTCCTACGCCAGGGGATTTTCCCAACCCAGGGACTGTGCATTTCTTGTGTCTCCTGCACTAGCAGGTGGATTCTTTACCACTTGCACCACCTCAGAAACCCTTGGGTTTAATGGTAATAGCTAATTTTTTGATCCCACTCCACAATTACTCCAACTGACCAATCAAGAATGGGTCATTGCCAGGTAAGGAAAAGTCATTAAAGACCCTTTAATTCATCCTTAAAATCTGAATTTCACTTTCCAACACAGGCTAATCCACTGCACATAAAATCTAACCTTAATAGAACTTACTGAAAGGCAAGAAACTGGTAAGGGGCACCTGCAGCTGGGTGCATTTGATGAATGGGTACATTTTAACCTCTTAGGCAGAATACAATTTTTTTCAACACTTATAATTAGGGTTGCAACCTGGCTACTCTTTTCTTTAATAGATTGCAACCTAATTACCCAATATTTTCAACACTTATAATTAGGGTAGCTACCTACATACCCTTTTAATTGTTAATAGGAAGCAATTCTACCTACACTGAGAAGAAAAGATGGTATCTGAGGGTGCTTGTATAAGCAGATTTAACAAAGAACTCTTCCTCCATTTCAAATGTTCTTGTTCCTAATATTATAGCTGTTCATTCATCTGTACCCAGTGATTCTCCAAATACTAGAATTATTGAGAAGACTTTATAAAAACACTGATAGCCTAGCTTCACCCAAGCCAACTGAATAAAAACAACCCTGGGTGAGGCTCATGAACTGATAATCTTAAACAGATCTCCAGTTGATTCTAACACGCAACCAGAGTTTAAAACCATGTATTTTAGCAGATTAGAGGTATAGAGTCCTTGGAACTTAGGGCTCTTAGCATCTAAAGCCCCATACAAAATGAGAATTCCTCATACAATATCCCTGACAGAACATCACCTGACTGCTCCTTAAAGCCAGCCTACAAAAGCAGCCCCAGCAGCCTCCCCAGCAGCCTGCTCCATGGCTGGAGAGGGCCTGCTGCTGCTGAGCTGACTGCGCAGGTTCAATCCATTCTTTGGGTCTCTGCTCTCTGAAGTGGTCCAGACAGGAGCTGCTCCTGGACCAGAACAATGTCAGCTGAGCCAGTGGTTGGCCACGGAGAACAAGGACCACTTGTATTCATCTTTGAAGCCTTAGCACTTGGAATTGGCACACAAGGGGTGCTAGTAAATGTGACATAATTAGAAAAAAATGCGTGTGTGTAAAAGATGGGCACCATTACTACTTGTGTTCTAATCACTCGTCCATCTGCATACTTCTTCAGGGCATGTCACTTATAAATATCACCGTTCCATGCATCAGGTCCATAGGAATGAGTGGAACACATTCTCCTAAGTTAAGGAATTCATAATCGGATGGAAGAAACTTTTCTAAACAGTCAGGTATCAGTCTCTCACTTAATTCTCAGAGCAAAGTGCTGTTTCATTACTCCAAGTCTTTCAGAGATGAAACCAAGTCATGCAGAGGTTAAATGATTCACTCGAGGTATATCAGCATTCACTCAAGGTGCTCAGCAGTAGCAGGGTTAAGATCTGAAACTATCTGACTCTAATTTCAGAGTGTCTCAGAGTGCCCCAGTGTCTACAGCCACCGTTTAAGAAAGGTGCTACTACAGCAGTGTCCACTACTAAGGATTTTTTAACACAGCCCAAAGCATGCTGTGATACCTATGCTGGTAACAGCCAACTGAACATGCAGAGAGCCACACTCCTTTAGATGTAGGGTGCAATTTCCAATGTACTGTAGTCTCCACCACTCCCAAATGTCTGTCACCCATTAAAAAGATAAATATCAGTTGAAATTTATCTCTGCACATGTGCTGTTATCTTTCTCAAATTTGGCCCACTTTACTCACTTACATCACCTATCTGACTTTTGGGGTTGCAACTTTAGTGCTAGCACTACTGGCTAAAGTATCCCAAAAGGGCACATACTCATCCATGAAAATTTTCTGATGGTAGATGCAAGTGGCACTTAAACATCTGAAACAGCTCATTATAGTACTCATGAGTGTCTGCTAGAACAACATCATTCAACGGGAACATCTTTGGTCTGACTATTGAAAATAGAGACCATTTGTTTCCAGCTTCTGTGTGATATATAGTTCTACCTGTCTTATTCTATTTCCTTTAAATTAACTTGACTCACCCACTCAAATGAATGTGGTGGAGGAAATTCATATGCATAAGCAACTCCAGGCTACCTTCCTTGGAAAGCACCAGACCACTTACCTGTTTCAAGGCTACTCACTCTGAGCTAATGATTCCATGTCCATCCGACACCAAACTTTCTACTGTTGCTCTTGTGCCCTAGGGAGCAGAGTCTCTTCCTAATCCACCTAATCCTAAAGTCACCCCTCTCCTACTAACTGCTGTCCAAGCTCTTAACCTCTGGGGACATGATTTCTGGTCTCCATGCTCCATTTGTAAATCTCACTCATGGTGATAACAAACACTTGATCTCATGTTTTACCTGGGCCCCAGCCAGTCTCCCACCACCAGAAAAAGAGACAGAAATGGTCCTACCTTCATGATTGACTGGTAAAGGACGAAACTGCTTATCCAAAACAACCAGAGAACATGTGGCATCAAACCCAAGCCCTCGAATTTGGTGTAAATTGACCCCTTGTACAACTTTCTGTTTTAAAAACAAATAAACAAAAATATGAATTACAATACAGGCTTCTCAGAGACTTAAAACAGTTATGACTAGAAAGAAATGAATAAAGTACTTACAACAAAACACAGATAAATACTCAGTATCACTAAAATATCAGAATATTCTATACATTAATTTTAAAAAAGACAACCAATCTAATTGGAAATTAAGCAAACGACATGAGAAGTCACTTCATAAAAGAAACAAAGAGTATATATAGAGTATATAAAACGGTTCCAAACTCCACTAAAATTAAATAAATGCAAATAAAAATACTCCACTCTTTGTCTTTCTTATTGGCAAAAATGTAGAAATTAAGAATATATAGTACTAATAGTGTCAAGACAGGAAAGAAGTGGGCCTTCTTTACATGATTCTAACAATGTGATAATTAGTACAGATTTTTAAGAATATAGTATAGTATTTATTAAAATTAAAAACATATATAACTTTTGACCCAGAAATCCTCTACTTCTAGGAAACTATCTTAATGAATTATTAGCATAAGTAAAATATTATATAAACCAAGGTTAACTGTTTACAAATATAAAAATTAGTAAAAACTATTTTATTAGATAAACTATGATACACCTATAAAACAGAATTTTCTACACCATTGAAAAAGAGAAGTAGAGAAGCATATTCTGGGTTTGGTAGTATGAAGAAGTTGGCAAATCCGCTTAACAAAATAAAAGCATAAAACCAGACAAAATCATCAAAAAAAACTATTTGAGGGGAATAAAACTTAACCAAAGTCACATAAGAAACTGAGAAGTAATCTTTCTTGAAAATAAAACTGTACCTAAAACATTCCCACAAAACATATGCAAAAAAATCCCATACTTTTAGACTTTTATCTCTTATACCATACATCAACATTAACTCTAAAATGTATCATATCCCCAAATGTTAAGAATTAAGGCTATAATACTTGCAGAGAAAATCTTTATGACATGGGCTAGACAAAAATTTATTAAAAAGCAAGACTCATAAAGGAAAAAAATAATAAATTTGAATTCATTAAAATTTTAAAATTTTGCTCTTTGAAAGAAACAAGATAGTGAAAAGATAAGCTAAATATTAATAGAAAATATTTGCAATTCATAAATCTGATAATAGACATATATGAAATATATAAAGAACACATAACTCAATAACAAGAAGATAAACAATGCAGCTATTTCATGAAGTGCAATAAAATTTATCACACAATCCAGCAATTTCACTCCTTGGTATCCAAGCAGGAAAAATAAAAACATATGTCAACATAAAGACTTGTATGTGACTATTCACAGCAGAAATATTCAAAATACCCTAAAACTGGAAACAAATCAAATATTCATCATGGTTTAACCAAATGATGAAACCAAGTGTGGTATATCCATACAACGATATGTGCAACTTAGACCCTGGTTCGATTCCTGGGTCGGGAAGATCTGCTGGAGAAGGAATAGGCTACCCACGCCAGTATTCTTGGGCTTCCCTTGTGGCTCAGCTGGTAAAGAATGTGCCTGCAATGTGGGCAACCTGGGTTTGGTCTCTGGGTTGGGAAGAACCCCTGGAAAAGGTTCAGCTACCCACTCCAGTATTCTGGCCTTGTAGAGTCCATGGGGTAGCAAAGAGACAGACACAACTGAGTGACTTTCACTTAGAAAGAAACGTTCCAAAATTTAATTATGGTGATGATTACACAAAGGTGTAAATTTAAAAAAATCACTGAATTATACATTTAAATTGATGATTTTATGGTATTTAAATTATACCTCAAGCTGTTAAATATTTTTGAAAAAACTGAGCTATAAGACATAAAAAATGGAAATATATCCATGGTACATTAATAAGGTAAAAAAAATTAAAAGTACATACAACTGTTACTAATGGTTGTCTCTGAGAGAAGAAACAACAGCTGGAGGAGATGAGAGATTTTTCACTTTGTCACGTAATTTTTTAAGTTGTAGAACAACAGATTTATTAATTCTATTTTTTTTATTTTTGTTTCCACAGTTTCCTTTTGTGAAAAAGCACAAGTGATTATATTCATTAATATTTCCTGGAAACTTAAAACAGATAATAATCTTTCAAAGCCCACAAAAATCAATTCAAATGTGTCCATCATCATTAAAAAAGTTAAAAAAAATTTAAAAATAAAGTTAAAGAGATAAAATGTACAATTCTTCTTTTCCCCTGTTATGGAATGCCAGACTTGTCATTTAGGACTCTATTTCTTACTTTGAATGTGTTCCTCAAATAAGAGCTACCCACAACTATTACATATTTTCAACAAGGAAAAGCATTAATTTTTTTTCAAATACTAACAACAAATAATAAAATGCCATCATGCATTGAGCACTTACTGTGTGTCAGGTACTTTACAAGCATCACCTTATTTAATCCTTACAAAGCCTATTGAGGAAACATTTAGTATTTTCATTTCATAAAAAGAGTAAGTAGAAGACTAGGGAGAGAAGGGAAGAGCAAGCACATCCCGGAGATTGAGAACTTGAACTTAATCCTGTTTCAGAGCCAGTCAATGGCTATGTTCTTCCTGCCACATGCCCCTATGTTCTACTCCACCACACTGCCTGCCTGCCCGAGAGACTTATCCTGCAGACCGGGCATGTGTCCTCAGAAGAACATTGCCAGTGACTCCAGGCAACATCTTTGTCCCACAGTACCAGGTGAACGCCCTGTAAATCTTTACTACTTTATTGATCCATCAAGAATTAGAAGAGCATGTTCAGTTCAGTCACTCAGTCGTGTCCGACTCTTTGCGACCCCATGAACCGCAGCACACCAGGCCTCCCTGTCCATCACCAACTCCCAGAGTCCACCCAAACCCCTTCTCCTCCAACCATCTCATGTCTTCCCCTTCTCCTCCTGCCCTCAATCTTTCCCAGCATCAGGATCTTTTCAAATGAGTCAGCTCTTCGCATCAGGTGGCCAAAGGATTAGAGTTTCAGCTTCAACATCAGTCCTACCAATGAAGAGCATGAGGAGCATATAAATTCATGACAAAGAGCCACAAAGACCTGGTTTCAAACCCTAGCTCTGTCACTCTGGCTACATGATCCAAGGCAGGTTACACAATTTCAGTCCTTCTAGTCACCTTGTCTTGCTGGATCATGTCTCTGCAGCATTTATAAGCATGGCCAACTCTGCCTGGAATGTCCTTCCAAGTTGGCTTGGAAATCTCTAGGTACTGGCTAATATCGATGGTGTTGGGTGCTTGAAACCTGGCTTCAACACTGAGTAGTCTTGTGACTCTGCTGCTGCTGCTGCTAAGTCACTTCAGTCGTGTCCGAGTCTGTGCAACCCCGTAGACGGCAGCCCACCAGGCTCCCCCGTCCCTGGGATTCTCCAGGCAAGAACACTGGAGTGGGTTGCCATTTCCTTCTCCAATGCATGAAAGTGAAAAGTGGAAGTGAAGTTGCTTAGTTGTGTCCGACTCTTAGCGACCCCATGGACTGCAGCCCACCAGGCTCCTCCATCCATGGGATTTTCCAGGCAAGAGTACTGGAGTGGGGTGCCACTGCCTTCTCCACTTGTGACTTTAGGAAGCCACAAAACCAGCTCCCTTGGTTATTCAAAGCTACTACTTAGACTATATCTCCTAATGATGTTAGGAGAATTCAGCAAAATAAGGTGTGATTAGCCCAACATCAGTGCGCAAGAAGCAGCTGCCATTATATGAGTACACTAACTGCATTCAATCTTTGAACTCATGGAGCCTCAATCTGTCAATGTATAAACCAGCCCTACCTTCTACCTGCCATGTAGTCCTGTTGGTCTCTGTGCCCAGAGAGCACATGCCTGACTCAGGCAAGCCCATCCCACGCAGGCCTACAAACAGTCTCTAGTCAAGAGAGGAAATGGGAGAGAACAGGTAGAAAATGCAATAAAACTCAATACAAAAAAGCTCTGCAGGAGAAAGGAGCATACACTATGGTATCAAAAGCGCCAGCTTCTGGTCCCAACTCCCAGTTCAGGTAATCTTGCACCAATATCATCACCTTTTTGAGCCTCGTGTTCCTGACAGAGAGATAGGTAAGGATCAAAAGTATCAATTAGTTTGAAAGTGCTTTGGAACCCATCAACCTTTGTAGGAAACGTGAAGGGATCAACCTTTGTAGGAAACGTGAAGGATGGAAAAACTCACTTGATGCTTCATTAATTGTGTTTATGGAATCTTATGTACGAAGTATAGCATGCTCCTTGTGTCATGTAATCACATATAAAAACCACAGGATGAACGATTGAAAGATTAAACTCGAATCCTCCTAAGAATCGTGGTGAAGGTGACCTTCCAGTAGAAGCAAAGAAAATATTCTCTTCAATCTATTTTATGAATCCCCTCTGAAGACCTACAGAGTTCTATATTCTAATTATGGCTTTTCGGCAACAAAGTTTCAGTGTCTCCATTTCTAAAAGGGAAACCTATCACACAGAACTGGAGAAATAACTGTGACATGCATTTAAACCTGGTTTGGTTAGGCAGCCACTGTCATTTGCCCAGCCTTGTATGGGAATGCCTTATGATCATGCTTATCATGATTGAGACCCCCCGCCACAGCTCTTCCACCCCACCCCCCAGCGAAACCATCTCAGAGAGATGGCTGTCAGAGTCACACTACCCAGAAGGCCCCTGGGACTCTGACCTGCTGACCTGAGGATTCTTTTTTATACTCTCATTAATGGAAGAAGAAAGCAGGCTAGTAAACTCAACCCAACAACTTGGCATCAAGGGAATTTCCTCAGCTAGAGAGAAAGCACATTGCTCTGCTAAAGAATTTCCAGAGAAGGAGATTTCTGCAACTTCATTCGGTAACCTGGTCCATGTCTTGCAACTGTCAACTCGTAGCTATGGGGCAGCAAACAAATATTTGGGGAAGGGATTGTGCATCGCTTTGTTCTGACTGTGGGAACCAGTTCAATCCTGCATGTGTTTTAAATCAGCAGGCTCTGCCATATTGGGTGGGGAG